CTAGCGCAGTTAAGGCATCCTTAACTACGATTTGTTCCCGAAGACACGCTTTCTTCCCCCCTCGACCCTAAAAGAGTTATGTTTGTGTTTCAATGAAACTCGGCGGCATTTTTTTTTTTGCTTCTTTCCTCCTCCTCCTCCTCCTCCTCCTCGTCGTTGCTGCGATTGATTCGAGACAAATTCCACCTCTCGCCAGCGCACACTCCAAGGAGCTCCAGAAAGTTTGCATCAGCCAGCCTTTTTCCCCCAAGGGCGCTGAAATCCTCGCTCTCCGCCGCCTGTACGGGAGCCGCAGCTGGAGCGATCCTGGCTCAGCCGAGGGGGCCTCGGCTCCGCCCTCGCGATTGTGCCTCGGCATGTGAGCGGGATCCCATTTCAAGAGGCTCCTCTGCTGCGCTTGCGACTAAGGTGGCTCGCGAGGACACCTATCTTCCCACCCCCCTCCAACTTTTCCCCTCCCCATGTGATCTGATTTCTCTCCCCCCCTCTCCTTTCCCCTCGCTTGCTCCCTCCTCCCCTGGACTTTCCTATGACGTCACCAGCTGCTTCCTGGCTCCTCCCCTCCGCATCCCCTGGCTGTTGCGGGCCGTGGCTCCGCCTCCCCTGTAGAGAGTCCGCTCCTCGCGTTCATTTCATTCCTCTTCTCATTCCGAACATTCTTAGCATCGCTCATGCTGCACAAGCCCATTCGAAAGCCCAGCCCGCCCTGCCGCCACCGGTTTGGGGGCAGTAACTAATCACTTGAAGGGCTTCAATAATCCCGCAAGCCAACAAGGCTGTAGAGCCCAAGACGCACACACACCGTAATTTTTTAAGAGGGGAGGAAAAAAAAATTAACATCCCCAAAAAAAAACCAAAACAAAACAACAACAAGCAAAACACGAAGGCTAGCCAGCCACCGGGAGCACTAGATAATTTATTCATTTATTCACCTCACTAGACACAGCATGAGGTGAATAAATGAATAAATTATCTAGTGCTCCGCGGGCCGGCTTGAAACGGCCGCCGGGCCGTATACGGCCCGCGGGCCGTAGTTTGCCCATTGCTGATCT